GGGAAAAACTGTCGATTGTTTCCGAGGGCTTGAAAAGCTATCTAAAAATGGGTAGGAAGGAAACGTGTCCATTTAGTTTGCTTAAAACGAGAATCATTTAATCCACTATGGGTGTAAAACAGGTGGCCTGCTGAAATGTCATTTATTCATTTTAATTTTCTACCAGCAAAAATAAAACGCCAAACACGTGCTTTTCCATTGGTTTATTGACTGTGCGCTTCCCCGATCACAATTTGAATGTAGGCAAGGTCGTATTTAGTCGACTACGCATGACGTAGTAGCACTGTTGTAGAAAGCCACCTGTGCAAAAAATTCCACTTTTGTCAATATGGTTATAATCCAAATTGCCGACATCGTATTTGAACGTTCCTCCATTCTGGCAAATGCAATGCGTGAGAGATTGGGGAAGGTCATTCCGGTCAAACGAAGGGTGTTTGGTTGAGTACCGCCATATAAATAGGTTACTGTAGCCCTCAAAAGCACGTCTGATAACTCAAGGCTTAGATATTTGAGCGATTTCGGACGAAGGCCTTCAGTGTTTTCTAACATCCAAATCTCTACAGGCTAAAGGAGATGCACGGTAAGCGAAGAACCTAATCATCAATTAATGTTGAATTTCAAGGAACACGAAACCGCCTTCTGAATCAGTATGACTAAACTCTGAGTAGCAATGCATACCTTAGTAGGTTGTTTTATGCAGAATCTACCTCACCTTATCAGACAAGAGCAATGAAAGTCGCGTGATCTCTGCAGTACAGAGAAACTGCATGATATTCGCCTCGTGGAAAATGCGCGATGGAACACATTCTTTCATATTTGCTGCTGAGAGAATTTTCATCCGAATTGTAACCTGCAGAAATGGACTCAACTTTCCAACAAACTGCAGAGGAAACAATCTGTTAATGCTTTTTTCCATAAACTCAGAGAGCAGTATGGTTTCCTCACGTTTTGGGCATGGATTGTTGCCTGAGTGGAAAGGCATTTAATGACATTAATCTCTAAATGATATTTCGGCCACAAAAGTCAGTAAAGCATGAACTCTTTTCCCCAAGCGAATAACTTTTGCCATCATTCGTTTTTCTTGGCTAAAGGCAACACACTAAAATATATAGAGTTGGATTTAAAAACTGACATTTGGTCTCTGTGGTTTTGGTTTATGGTGATTTAATTTTGCCGAAATAAGTATGGTTCAAAAAATAAAACAATAGGCATTTCACAACGGCATATCTCTAAGCAAATTTGATTTAAAAAAACTCCCTAGTGCAGGATTTGCCTACCCATAAGAAGGAAGCGTTATGTGATGTAGCTATGCACATACCTAATAAATTTGGACATGCGCTAACGCAGCACGCAATTCCAAGCAAGCAATTCACACTCAACCTCATAGCGTGTGTCAACGAATGTTACCTTCTCAGCTAGACAGGATTTACAACATTCATCAGCGCACCAATGAAATGAGCAAGGACATAAAATGTGACCCACGCAGGGAACAAAACCAGGTCATCGTGTTATATGGGTTTTATTGGTGGTACTAAACGGCGGAAAAGAGGACGCAATAGTAGGTGAGCATTCGGGTAACTGCTGGGCTGGAGTATTATGTCTTCGTGCTAAATTTCTCGACGGCTATTTGCAAACGATGTCTGTCAGCGCAAGCAAAGATTGGGAATTTTTCGCAGTTCTTTAAGATTGCTTTTACAAAATAATTAGATTACATTCCTACTAGTTACGAGAGCATCAATTACAGAGAGCACAATATGTCAGGCTGGCCTGCCGTTTATTTTCTGAGTGGAGTCGCCTTGCTGCATCCTTGCTGCATTCCATAAACTAGGCTTTTGACGCTTCTTTTATTTGGTATTTTAGGGCACAGAAGACTATAACGACCTTTTCGCTTAATCAGTCATTGCAGATGAATCATCTGTTCATTTGACAAATACGTGTATTTTGCGGACAGAATGAAAATACCTCCCCGGTTATAGCAGAAAAACAGCTCAGTATTCGACCATTCCTTTAACAGCAATATAGGCCGGAGTTTATACAATTGAGGATAATATTAAATACATTGAGTGGGCTTTGAATTTGAGCCGCCAAATTTTCACGTGTAATTTTTTGAAACTGTATGCTTCTCTGCCTATTTCCCCTTGACATATTGATTTTTGTATATACGCTTATGCTGAACTAAGATAGCGTTTAGCATTTAGCTTTAGCATTTTTTGAAAGAATTTAAATTGCCAAATTTACAGACGACTGTCCATGATACCAAGTGTTGCCCTTTTCGTCCAAAATGTCGTAGTTGTGATGTCTGCGCTAACTTTATCACATTTCCATCGACAAGAGCCTATGGACTGGATCAGAAACGGGAGCGGTTGACAACTGGCTCCCAGTCGTCAACCAATAAACAAATTGTCAATTCCAAGCATCCTGTCGACAATCCTGTCGTTCGATTTTCAACAAAACTCACGGTTTATAGCTTTTCTTGTTGAAAGAAGGGAAGGGTGGGAATGAAGTATTCTGTCTTGAAGAGACATGATTAAACGGTGATATCGATCCGCAAATAATTATTCATCCAGCCATCTGTTTCTATCAAATTGGTCGAATATCTTCATCGTATAGCAGAGATGGAGGGGTTGACAGTCGTGTTAACCGAAATTGCCGTAGAGAGAGCGAGCGTTTATTTTCTTTCTTTAATGATTTGATTGACATTTTCGTTGTTCTCTACAAGCGTCGCTTGTTAAGTAATTTAAATGGCTTTATAATTGTTGAAATTTATATTCCCCTTCTAACTGTGAAGGCGCTATTGTCCGTTTTTTTCGAATTTATTTCACAGGTACTGGCTATTTTGTTGCCAAACGTTTAGACTTTGAAAAGCTTAGTCACATTTTGACGGTCCATTCCAGGCTTTTTTGCGCTAAACGTAGAGCTCAGTTGCCAGGTTAAGATTAATCTACGTTATTTACTCCTCCAGAAATCTATTTCACCCATAAATGTGCATTGTTAACTAAACCTCAGTGAAAGACTCTGGTTCACGACACGTACCCACAAAACATTCGCTTGTTTTAGACTTGTATATCCTAAACTATCTCAGATTCCCTTAGACAAGTGAATGTCTAATCGTGTTTTAGCCACCTTAAAGCGTTTTCGATGAGATTGTCGATATTTGCTGTACGCTTGGTGCCGTTATGGTAATTCCGGATAGAATTTCTTCACCCTATAGAATTTCTTAAGACGCAAAAAGGAACTTCCCTACAGGCTGGGTCTACGTGACAGTCTTAAGGACGTTGTCATCCCAATAAAAAAATTTGCAGGCTAAATGGTCTGTTCTTTCCTCTTGCTCTGATAAAATTCAAGGGAGTTTTAAGCGTCTGACCAGCTACTCTAACAAGCTGTCGCATGCGGATACAGATTTAGACTCTTTAAACGGAAATTTTATCTTGACTGACAGCGAGTCGTGTCTTCCCTCAAATAACATTTCCATTCTAACATGCGTCTTCTCACCTGTATGCATCGCAACAATAGAGCAACACCGTAAAAAGCGCCGTGGATCCATAGTCGCCGGGCCGCATGTTGTCCCAGATTTTCTACTAAAATTTTGCCGTTCTCAGACAGCCCTTCTTTTAGCATATCTTACCAACATGTCTTTCATGGAATCAAAGACTCCCGAAGCACGGCATACAGTACAAACCACTCCTATTCTTTAGAAATCCACTAAAATTGATCCGAGAAGTTTTTAAACAATAGCTTGCTCTTACGCACGCGACGCTTGTTAACGTAGTTGCCCCGGATATAAAAAACTATTATTTTCGATTTTCCCGATCCTTTACAATTTGTCACCAGGTTGCTGTTGCTCTTGTGGTCCACTCTCCCTGAGGAAAATTGATAACTGTTGTCGTGCTTACTCATGTGCATTCCATAACCACTCTTGCCGTGCCATTTTCTCCTAACTCAAACAGTCCTGTGCGACTTTCCAGGCTGGTTTGTCTCTTGACTCGGTCATTATTTTTCTTCCCGAACTTTGTTTACCTAATCCAACGAACCGAGATCTACGGTCTTTCCCAATGCCTGTGGAGTCCCTCTAGGGGTGTCCAGCGGTGAATTCACGTGACGGTCGTGGTAGGTCGCTCACCTGCTTTCAGGTGCAGACTAGGCCCATCGTCCCCTCGCTTACACCCAACTCTCACATGTGGCTCCCCAAAGTTAGGCGCTGCCAAGCGGCCACACCCTGGTAACCGCCTCGACCGGTGGGCTAAACCAGATGAGGGTATCCGTGCGCGCGCCTGCGCGTAAGGTAATATGGATCCTGCTGGCCGGATTTATCTTCGCGTCGGCATCGTCGAGATTAGGCTTCGTCTGGACCACCGCAGGAGGCCAGGTGACAATGGATCCCCTCAGGTCCTAGAGTAATTCGGGTCGTTCTCTCGCGAACGCAATGTCATGGCCCATAGTGGAGTTCGGCCGCGCCTGGAACTACCTAACAGCCCTATTTAGGGTGCCACTAAGGGGAGGGGCTAGAAAAGGTGCCCTAAAGATTGCTGGGGAACCACGTCGTCTGCAGGCTGACCGTGGTCGCAGACGTTAAACTCACGGTCGAAAAAATCCAAACAGAAACAACAAGCATCTCTTTCTTCCTCTTCTCGTCTATTCTCCATCTTCACCTTCTCCTCCTTCTCCTCTTCGGCACCCCACTCGGCAGACTGGTAAGGTGAGTCCGCTCATACTGGCAGCCTTGAATATTCGATACCCTTAAGACAATCCGAGGAAAAACCGACCGAAATGGAGGACGGCTCTTGTGGCTGGGGAACTGGCGCGCTACAAGGTGGGCATCGCAGCACTCAGCGAGACCCGGTTCTCCGAACAAGGTCAAATGGAGGAGGTGGGGTGGCAACTACAACTTCTGGAACGGTCGCCCCAAGGCAGAGCGACGAGACGCGGGTGTCCCCTTTGTAATCGGGGACGACATCGTGGAATGACAGCTCTGTCTGCCACAGGACATCAACGATCGCCTGATGAGCCTCCGCCTGCCTCTCCCGGAAGGCAAATTCGCCACCATCATCAGCGCCTACGCTCCGTTGATGACCAGCCCTGATGCCGCAAGAGACAAATTCTACGAGGACCTGCACGCACTCTTGGCGACTGTGTCGAAGGCGGACCAGTTCATTGTCCTTGGCGACTTCAAAGCCCGCGTCTGCACAGACCACGCTGCCTGGAGTGGACTGCTAGATCCCCATGGTCTCAACGGCTCCAATGACAATGACCTGCTCCTTCTGCGCACCTGCCCAGAACACCGCATCGTCCTGACAAACACCTTCTTCTGCCTGCCGATGCGAAAGAGGGCCACTCGGAATCATCCTCGGTCGCGTCAGTGGCACCTGCTGGATTATGTCCTCGTCCGGAGACGAGACCAAGGGGACGTGCTAGTGAAAAATGCGATTCCAGGTGTTGCCGAGTGGACAGACCCCAGCCTCGTCAACTTGAAGCGGCGTATTTGCCTACAGACTCGCAGGAGATCTGCTCAACATGTCTATTTCATCAATGAACTAGCTCAACGGCTAGGCAACCTTCTAGTCGCTGACGCCGCCTCCGGTGACAAGAAAGTCTCCACGGAAAACCGATGGCGTCAAATGCGGACACTGTTCAGTCGATGGTGCTGGCCGTCCTCGGTCTCGCGCGCCTTTAACATCAAGATTGATTCGATGACAGCGACGCCGCCATCAACAACCTGCTCGCCGGGAAGAACCGCCTGCACAAAGCCTACGTCGACCGCCCTACCGATGACAACAGAGTTGCTTTCTACCGTAGTCGGCGCCTCCTACAACAGCGGCTGCGCGAGAAGCAGGACGCCTGGACGGTCCGCAAGGCTGATGAGATCCAAGGACACGCGGATTGCAATGAATGAAATAACGTCTTTTCAGCAATCAAAGCTGTCTACGGTCCGCCAACCAATGTTACTGAACTCCTCCTCAGCGCTGATGGCAGTGCCCTACTCACTGAGAATGAACAAATTTTACAGCGATGAGCCTAGCACTTCCAAGGAGTCTTCAACCGTTTCTCGACCATCTCCAATGCGCCATCGTCCGTCTGCCGCAAGTGGAGACCTCCCGCCCTCTCTCCATGAAGCCGTCAGGGTCATACGACAACCTTCCATCAGAAAAACGTCCGGATCGGACGCGATCCCTGCTGAGGTCTACAAGCACGATGATCCCCAACTCATGGATCATCTGACTGCACTCTTCAGGGAGACGAGGCGTCAAGGAGATTCCCGTAGAATTTCAAAGACGCAACAATCGTGCATCTATACGTCCAAAAAGGGAACAACTAGCTCTACGAAAATCAACGAGGAATCTCCTTGCTGAAAATTGGTGGAAACATCTTTTCTCGCATCCTTCCCAACCACCCGAACAACCACCTAGAACACAGTCTTCCACCGAAAAGCCAGTGCGGTTTCCGCCGTCATCGTGAAACCACGGACATGATCTTTGCCGCATGCCAACCCCAGGAGGGGTGTTAGGACACGCGGACGCACCTATACTCTGCCTTCGTAGATCTTATGAAAGCCTTCGACACAGTGAATCGCGACGGACTGTGCAAAATCATGCAGAAATTCGGCTGTCTCCCAGGATTCACTCAGATAGGGCGTCAGCTCCACGATGGCATGACGGCGCGCGTCACGGAGTACGGCGCTGTCTCAGAGGCATTTAGCGTGTACGAAGGAGTGAAGCAGGTACGCGTCCTGACGCCCACCCTCTTTAGTCTCATGTTCTCTACCATACTGCTGGGCGCTTACCGTGACGAGCGCCCAGATATCCGCATCGCTTATCGGACTGAAGGCTACCTCATCAATCAACGGCGGATGCACTACCAATCACGCGTATCCACAGTCACCGCTCACGAACTTCTCTTCGCCGACGACTGCGCCCTCGATACCACCTCGGAAGAGGACATGCAAAGGAGCATGGGTCTCCTCTCCACCGCCTGCGAGAACTTCGGTCTGGTCATCAACAAGGAAAAGAAGGTGATAATTCATCAACCACCATCCAACACAGCCCCTTCCCACAACGCGCCACAAATTAGCGTTAACGGAACCCAACTGCAAATGGTGGACAACTTCCCGTATGCGGGCAGGAACCTATCCCGCATCACGAAAATCGACCACAAAGTAGTCCACCGGATTTCGAAGGTCAGACAAGCCTTCGGCTGTCTTCAAAGTACAGACTGGAATCGTCACGGTATCCAGCTCAGTATGCAATTGAAGATGTACTTGGCCGTCATCCTCCGGACGCTGCTGTGTGGAGTAGAGTCCTCGACGATGTACACGAAGCAGGCACGCCGACTCAACCATTTCCAACTCAGCTGTTTTCGTCGAATACTGAAGCTGAGTTGGTAGGACCGAATCCTGGACACTGATGTACTGGAACAGACGGGGAACCTCAGCATCTACGCCATGCTGAGACAACGCAGATGCGTTGGTGCGGTCATCTCGTGCGGATGAACGACGAGCGGCTACCCAAACGACTCTTCCATGAAGACTTCGCCACAGGTTCCCGCCGACAAGGAGGCCAAATTCGTTGATACAAGGATACTCTGAAATTCCTCCTGAAACATCTGCAAATCAATCCAGCCAACTGGGAAGACCTCCCTCATAAACAACCGACCTGGAGGAAGACAGTGAAGACAGGCGCTGCGATCTACGAAGTCAGCCGCATTGCCGCTGTGAAAGCCAAACGCAATGCACGCAAGTCTCAGCTGCGCCCAGCTTGTAATGCCAACGCACAACCACCTCTAACGTGTCCACAATATCAATGGACATTCCAGGCTCCAAATGGACTTGTTGGACACCTTTGAATCAACTTCACCACTCGCATTGCACCAACCGTGGACACTCCATCCACCTCTTTCTCGTCCTCTACGCCGTCAGCTAACTCTGACCGCCGTTCTGGGTCATTACTTCCATCATCCTCCTCCTCCCCCTCCCCCCTCCACCTTTTACTCCTCCCACTCCGCCGCCTTGCTACAACGGCTGCCATCGTGGACTCTGTCACGCACATCAACAATACGCACACTCGGTACTCAACAACAAACACCAACACCACTACCACCGTCGACACCGGTGGTGAGGACCAGGACAACACCTGTCCTCACTGCAGCTGCACCGTCACCTCACGATCGACCTGGTAGATCATTTGCGAATCCATCGCATAGAGACTGGCGAACCAGTACCTGAAGCACCAACATATACCCGCCGCATCCGCCTCCATTGTTCATACTGTCTTCTCATATTCATACACCGCATGGGCCTATTCGGATACATGCGTATCCACGGAAACCTGCAGTAGACAACCGCCGGCCGCACCACACCACGGCATTCTCCCTCACACCATCTCACCGCACATCAATATCAGCCACCGCAAACACCCAACCGCCCCCTCCCACGCAAGTGGGAAGTGCGAGTTTCTACTCAGTCTCCATGCGGCTCCCATTGTATGGATGACTGGAGACTGAGGCTATCCCGGTGGGTTAAGCGCCGCGGATTGGAAGGCTGCCGACTGACGCTCCAAC